CTCACCCTTATTGCTGTAGGGTTGGCACTAGAAGCTTTCTTGGGGCCCATGGTCACTTATTTTGCCGATAAAATCACCAAAAACACTGTAATAATACGAAATGTTCTGATTGTATGCTTGGATGTTACTGCGGAGGCTGGCTGGTAAACAATGCCACCGGCGGAACATGTGAGGCTGGCTCAGGCCGCACATTAGACGCGTCTCGGACGAATAGTGTTGAGCAGGTTTTTTAGCGGTATGCGAGGCAAAATCTTAGTGATAAAATGTATCGGTATGCGGATTTAACGTTATGTAATGCCAATGGTATGCGGGGGTCCACTGTAGTTCGCTATGTCTCACGACTCGACTAGACTTAAACAAGTGACTGACAAAGTCCTCAAATAAACTAACTTCTTAACCAACTGGCAATCAGAACAGTCTGCTTGAACAATAAAAAGAATGCTAAGCCCAATAGCAATATAACAAGCAACTGCGACACAGAATCAGGAACAAGGAGATTATATAATGACACTAAGTAGGGATCATCAGCAGATCCTCCACAAAAGTCGCAAAACTCCCATACTACTGAATCTAAGTTCAGCATAAGAAAATCCCCGACTGTGATAGTACACAGATACCAGTACAAGTTAGGTCAGAAGCTACAGCTCAGGACCTGAGTTGCTCAGAGTGTCTATGTGGCACACAACCTCAGTGCAACATCAAAAATCACTAAGTCTATACAATGTTCTGTGATCAGTCTCTCCCCGAACAACAATAATAATGAGAAAAAGAGACGATCTTCCAACAAGGGCCAATAAGGGAGATTTAGGCACTTGTCATGAATACGTCCAACCACCAAGAGAGTCTAGACCAGACTGAATACTTCAGGCGAGGTGAGGACACCCCCCCCTCGATCACGTGATAGCTCTGTGGACAGCTGTCGCCCAGCAACAGAAGCCGGCAGAGTAACGAGCCACAAGCGATAATTACAGTAGTTGACAATCAAGACTTGAACTTTGAGCACATAATATGTGTTACATCCTACCTAACAAAAGGAAACTAAGTCAAATAATAATATAAAGCAATTTATTTACGATTTAGCTATTACCTGCAAATAAAATTTGGGAAAAGGGTTTTAAAGAATTTTTAATTCATTGTAAATTCAGGTTTCCCCAGTAACCCACCGTTTTTTAAATTTTTTCCCATTAAAAGGGAATATTGTTTTAAGTAGATTTCCATTTAGAACCCCCAAAATACACGTACTCCAAAACCATAAATACCCCCCTTTTTAAAATTTTCGCATTTTACGTGTCGTTTAGCGTTCCCCTTTTCAATTAAATTTATAAAATTTAAATTCTGTTTATTTATAATTATACTTCCCTCCAGGTTTAAAACCAGTCCCCTTTTCTTTAAGTTTTAAATTCTCTTTTGTTCCAACCTTTCCCTTTATTTAAGGCTATCTGTTCTGCAAATCCCTATACCTTTTCCCTCTTTCTACTTTTTAAACCCCAAAAATCTTTTTTCTTATCCCACATTCCTCCCATTCTTTTACTTTCCCTTTGATCTTCATTCACTTCTTTACCCCTTTTCTTCTATAATTCCCGCGTAAAAACCCCCAACACCTTTTTCTCTTTTCCCCCTTTAAATTTATCCCCATCTCATCCCCTTTTCCGCCCCCCCTTCTTCCCAAACTTACCCCAATTCTAATACTGCCATTTTAAAATATCCTCCCTCCCTTCAACCCCCCTACTCTTTTACTGACCAAATTTTCCAAAAACTTTTCCCCCGGCTTTCCCATTGTTTAATCCCCTTTTTTTTATTTTCTTAAATTTTTGCATCCCCTCCCCACTCTTTCTAACTGTCTCCTTTTCCATTTCCCCCCCTCTTTTCACCTTTCTTTTACTCTCCATATACTCTGCTCTTCTTATAACACTTCTGCTTTGTAAAAACCTCTCGTAAGCTACCTTTTTCTCTTTTATCACACCCTTTACTTCTTCATTCCACCAATCACTCCTCTTTCCTCCTGCCCCCACCCTCCTTTAACCACAAACTTCTGCCCCACATTCTAATACTGCATTTTTAAAACTATTCCAACCCTCTTCAACCCCCCCACTACTCATCTTTGCACTAGCCCACCTTTCTGCCAATAGTCGCTTATATCTCGCCCGAACTTCCTCCTCCCTTAGTTTATACACTTTTATACACTTTATACTACTCTTACTTGTTGTTGCCACCTTCCTCTTTTCCCATCTACCTCTTACTCTAACTGTAGCTACAACTAAATAATGATCCGATATATCAGTTGCCCCTCTATAAACATGTACATCCTGGAGCCTACCCATCAACCTTTTATCCACCAATACATAATCTAACAAACTACTTTCATTACGTGCTACATCATACCTTGTATATTTATTTATCCTCTTTTTCATAAAATATGTATTACTTATTACCAAATTTCTTTCTACACATATCTACACGTATTTATACAGCATAAACAGTCAAAGGGTTAACCCTTAAACGGTCCAAACGTATATATACGTTTTCTTTATCATTCATTCAGCATTGCCACGATAAGCCTGAGTCACCTAGACATGAGAGAATGGGTGTGCGCACTCACTGTGCGCCATATTAAAATAATTGGGGACGCCTGGGTACCATATGCTCTTTTTTCCTATTAAAAAAAAAACATTTTTTCCTCTCAAAAAATTTGGGGCGCTACGCACGTGGACGTATATATACGTTTGGACCGTTTAAGGGTTAAAGGAATCTATCCCCTGTTCTTTAACCCTTTGACTGTTTCGGTTGTATATGTACATCTTACGAGCCAGTGCTTCGGACGTATGTATACTCAATAATTCTAGCGGCTTCAAATCAAGCAGGAGAAAGCAGGTAGGCCTACATGTGAGAGAATGGGTCTGTGTGGTCAGTGTGCACTGTATAAAAAAATCCTGCAGCGCACAGTGCATGAGAAAAAAAAACTCCGATCATGTTTTTTGATTAAAACGCCGACTTTGAGATGTATTTCGTATAGTATTTATGGTTGTATTCTCATTTTCTTGGTCTCATTGATAGAATGGAAAACATGTTACAGAAGTAGAGATGATTTTGATTAGTTTCACGATGAAAACTACCTTGAAATTGAGCTCAAAGTAGCAGAAATATTGATTTTTACCAATGTTCAAGAGTAAGCAAATTACACCTCATGTCCAATACACGTCAGTTGGGGAGTCTAATATTCTTTCACTAGTGCACTGATATTATTTATATCATTTTTACAATAATGCAGTAGTCTGCATAACAGTAAATCTTCTATTTTTTGTGTGAATAAAAAAATCAAAATAGAAAGGAAGAGTAATATAAGACGACCTGGAGACGTGACTAATGAACAGAGGATATGTTATTTTAGTGCCAAGAATGTCTGCATTGTTTATTCTGGACCCTGTTTTGAAATTGGCATCTTTTTTAATTTGCATGAAACTGGCCAAATTGCCAATTTCTGACCACTTTATTGGGTAGTTGAAATTGGTAAATGGGTGGTTCTTGATAGAAAAAATGGAGCTTTAAAGAAATAGCTATGTGTTTGGTCGACTGGAATAATGGAGCTCGCCAAAAAATAGGGCTCAAAGTGGGCAATATCGCCGATGCGTATATATCGCCGATATATATCGCCGATGCTTATATATCGCCGAGATTGCTAACTTTGCCGGAGTGTAATTCCATAAGTTTTTGATCAAATTTCGTACTTTTGGTGCCATTACCATTGGGAAAAGATTCTCTATCATTTCATAAGATTTTTTTTTTTTCCAAAAATTTTTCGACATAGAATGACAGTTTCAGAAAGGGGTTTGCGACAGTCAAAGGGGTAACCACCCCCCATGCCTCTCTCCAGTATAACACTTGTCCTTCATTTTGAATGTCATCACCAAAAAATCAAAGTTTTACCCTATTTCTCAGATTAATAAAATGTAACTAAGAAAAACTGGTCCTGGTTTAGGCTGTCTCAATAATTGGAGCAGACCTAGTAAAAACTCATAAAACAGACTGGGTGGGTGGAGGGGGGTGTAGGAGGAGACCCTACATATCAAATATTTTTGCCACTCTGAGGCCTATTTCAAGCTACATGTGGTCTGAAACTAACCAAAAGTAATCTCTTTTACTAGTATATCTTATTTCCTATCAGTTGATGCCAAGAGGCAGCCTGGCATTTTAAACCAAATGCCAGGTCAAGAGGTTTGCTTTTTCCCCATCATGCACTGCATTGGGTCTAATATTTTTATACTGTGCACACCCACTGCACTGGCCCATACTCATGTCTAGGTCAAAATTTACTGCTCACCAGTAATGTGTAGGTTATAATTTATAATAACCACCCAGGGAGGTACTAATGTCCTGCAATTGTTTTAGATGATGGTAGGATTGCTTGTGTCTTTTTTTCTGTCTCATAAACACACGGGATAACATATCTTGCTACTTCTTCTTACACTTAGGTCTCACCACACATGCATGTACTTTCTTCTTTCTTTCAACACACCGGCCGTGTCCCACTGAGGCGGGGTGGCCCAAAAGGAAAAATGAAAGTTTCTCCTTTTACATTTAGTAATATATACAGGAGAAGGGGTTACTAGCCCCTTGCTCCCAGCATTTTAGTTGCCTCTTACAACACACATGGCTTACGGAGGAAGAATTCTGTTCTACTTCCCCTTCTCCCGTATATATTACCAAATTTAAAAGAAGAAACTCTTGTTTTTTTCTTTTGGGCCACTCTGCTTCGGTGAGATGCAGGCGATTTGTTGAAAGATGATTTATTTGTGTATTGCACACAGGCATTAAAGTCATCCTGTCTGCAGGAGTTTGTGTTCCTGAGGTGTGATAATAATCTAGCAGTTTATCCTATACTTATTGTTGCATTCACCACATTGAATTATGTATACTTCTGCTCTGGTGAAAGGCTCTTTCTTACATATCTGCACAAGTCTTTGATCAAAGACTAATTATCTTTGTATTTTATGTATCAACAGATTTCAGAAGAAATCCATGAACAGCGCAGGTGCCATTTACCTAGAGAACCAGGTGTGGGTGCTGAGCTCACTCCACCTGAAGCTGTTGATGCTCTCGTTAATGACCAGGGTGCAAAACCATTTTCCCCACTTGAAGAAATGACTTCTAAGGAGGAGGAGGTATGTATGTGTTATACTTACTACTGTAGGTTTTGAAACAAAGATTAAAGATTCTTTATTTCAGCATGATTCAATGTTTGTACAAGGGTGAATGACATTTAGGTGGGCATTCAGAAAGCCCCTTAACCCTTTCAGGGTTTGATCCTCTGATATGACAATTGCTCTCAGGGTCTAAGAATTTAACCCTTTCAGAGTTTCCGACATACTAGTACGTCTTACGCACTAGGGTTATTGACATACTGGTACGTAAATTCTAGCACCTTCAAATCTAGCAAGAGAAAGCTGGTAGGTCTACATATGAGAGAATGGGTCTATGTGGTCAGTGTGCACAGTATAAAAAAACACAATGCGTAATGAGAAAAAAAAAACTTTGACAGTGTTTTTGGTTTAAAACAGCGACTTTGCACTGTATTTTCGTATGGTATTTATGGTTGTATCCTAGTTTTCCTGGTCTCATTTTATAGAATGGAAGACATATTACAGAAATTGAGATGATTTTGATTGGTTTCACAATGAAAAGTACCTTGAAATTGAGCTCAAATTAGCAGAAATGTTCGATTTTTGCCAAAATTCAAAAGTAAACAAATCATGCCACGCGTCCAATACACATCAACTGGCAAGTCTAATATTCTTTCACAAGTGTGCTGATATTATTTATACCATTTCTACACTAATGCAGTAGTCTGTATAACAGTAAATCTTCTATTTTTTGTGAGAATAAATATTCAAAGTGGAAAGCAAAAGAAATGTAAGAGGGGCCTGGGGATGTGACTGATGAACAGAGGAAATGTTATTTTAGTGCCAGGAATGTCTGTCTTGTTTATTCTGGACCCTATTTGGAAATTGGCATCTTTTGAAATTTGTGTGAAATTAGCAAAAATTGCCAATTTCTGACCACTTTACTGGATAGTTGAAATTGGTAAATGGGTGGTTTCTTGTACTCATTCGATAGAAAAAATGGAGTTCTAGGAAATAGTTGTGATTTTTGTTGACTAGTACAATGGAATTGGCTGAAAATAGGGCTCAAAGTGGGTGAAATCGCCGATGCGTAAACATCGTCGAGACCGCTAACTTTGTGAGAGCATAATTCCATAAGTTTTCTATCACATTTCATACTTTTGGTGTCATCATGATCGGGAAAAGATTCTCTATCATTTCATAAGAAAAAATTATTTTTTTTTCTCCGAAAAATTTTCGACCCTGAGAACAAGTTTAGGAGAGGGCCTCTCAACCCTGACAGGGTTAAAAAAAGAAAGTCTTGCAGAATTAGAGTATATTCCCATCAGTACTTAATGAGATATAGAGGCATGAAGTTAACGTCAGATGACCTGTGCACTCTCTATTAGTTTTTTTAATTTTCATGTTTTTCTTCTTTACTTTTCTAATATTTTATTTATTCCATTGACCTGTGTGGCCTGTAAGACTAATATAATACACAGTGTGTGTATATCACTCATTGTATGCAACACAATAACTGCACTAATATTGTCATCATTACTTTGTTTACAAAATTATATTGTTTACTAATTTTCTATCATATATGTACATATATACCCTCACTGGACATGTTCTGGAACTGTTGCAGTTTGTGGAACTCTTTGAAACATGGTGTCATGCATTGTGGTGTTTTATACTCTTCGCACATGAAATGAGTGTCTGTGTTTTTTGGGCGTTTGGTTGTATGTGCACATTCAAAACATCTCTTCTGAGCCCATTTCTTCTTAGTGGGAGGAAGTGTTGCTAAGTAGTGATCACCATGCCTCACACAAGAGGGTATTTCATATACAGGAAGGCCCCGCTTTACGGCGTTTCACTTTACGGCGTTCCGCTAATACGGACATTTCAAATTATGACCAAAACTCACTATACGGCTCCCCCCACCTGACTTTCTAATACGGTCACCGTGCCCCACCCTGTTTGTTTACATTCTCCATGAGCTCAGTAAGCACTAAGTCTCTCCATTTTGTCTGGAAACTCCAAAATTTCAAATGTTTTTAAAAGTTATTTCATATTTTATATATACTCTGATAATTATACTTATGTATACCTGTACCTAAATAAACTTACATACATCGAGTCATTTAAATGTCGTATATTACGTTAATATACACATTTTGATTAATCCATCCATGATATTTTTTTCAAAATTATATAATAAACACGATGCATAACATATAAATAAGATAAATACACCCCACAGTAGAATAAATAAACAAATGTGAGATGTGAGCAGACGACTTGCACAAGTGGTGATAATAGCAATACTCGCCGAGTCTCATTAAATGTCGTATATTACGGTAATATACACATTTTCATTAATCCATCCATGATATTTTTTTCAAAATTATATAATAAACACGATGCATAACATATAAATAAGATAAATACACCCCACAGTAGAATAAATAAACATAAATGTGAGATGTGGTAGCAGACGACTTGCACAAGTGGTGATAATAACAATACTCACCGAGTCTCATTAAATGTCGTATATTGTGGTAATATACACATTTTCATTAATCCATCCATGATATTTTTTTCAAAATTATATAATAAACACGATACATAACATAAAAAGATGATAAATACACCCCACAATAGAATAAATAAACATAATATAAGATGTGGGAGCCTGGTTTGTTTACATAACTCTGCGCCTGTTACCTCTCATGTACTCATTCTTTCTCTCTCTCATTTATTCGTTTTATCTCATTTACTTACTCCTGACCCTACATTAAGACTACAAATATTTTAAGGTAAGTAATGAGTGAACTGTATATACATTTTATCGCTCTGGAATGCTTAAATATCATAGAATAGTATGTGTGGGTGGGGTGGCCTGGTGAGGTAGCCTGGCTATTACAATACATACCACACTTGATTTCTTACAATAAATACTACTTGTCTCACCCTAGATTAAGACTATAAATATTTTAAGGTAAGTAATGAGTGCACTATGTGTGTATTGTACCTTTTTATTGTTTTTTGATGCCTGGTTCTATTGCTAACTTAATATATGTTAGTGTAAACTTGTTATCTAGTGTTTGTATGCATTTATAAGTGGAAAAAAAGGGTGTTCCACTTTACGGCGATTTCCGCTTTACGGCGGTAGCCTGGAACCTAACCTGCCGTATAAGTGGGGCCCTCCTGTACATATTATAAGTGGAATAAGAATCTTTCCTCCGTAAGCCATGCGTGTTGTAAAAGTCAACTAAAATGCCGGGAACAATGGGCTAGTAACCCCTTTTCCTGTAAAGATTACTAAAAAGAATAAGAAGAAGAAAATTGTCAAAGTGGGAAGTCTGAATGTGCGTGGATGTTGTGCAGATGATAAGAAAGAGATGATTGTGGATGTTATGAATGAGAAGAAGCTGGATGTCCTGGCTTTAAGTGAAACAAAGCTGAAGGGGGTGGGAGAGTTTCAGTGGAGAGGAATAAATGGGATTAGGTCAGGGGTTTCAAATAGAGTTAGAGCTAAAGAAGGAGTAGCAATAATGTTGAAGGATAAGCTATGGCAGGAAAAGAGGGACTATAAATGTATTAATTCAAGGATTATGTGGAGTAAAATAAAGATTGGATGTGAAAAGTGGGTTATAATAAGCGTGTATGCACCTGGAGAAGAGAGAAGTGTAGAGGAGAGAGAGAAATTTTGGGAAATGTTGAGTGAATGCGTGGGGAGTTTTGAATCAAGTGTGAGAGTAATGGTGGTTGGGGATTTCAATGCTAAAGTGGGTAAAAATGTTATGGAAGGAGTAGTAGGTAAATTTGGGGTGCCAGGGGTAAATGTAAATGGGGAGCCTTTAATTGAGCTATGTGTAGAAAGAAATTTGGTAATAAGTAATACATATTTTATGAAAAAGAGGATAAATAAATATACAAGGTATGATGTAGCACGTAATGAAAGTAGTTTATTAGATTATGTATTGGTGGATAAAAGGTTGATGGGTAGGCTCCAGGATGTACATGTTTATAGAGGGGCAACTGATATATCGGATCATTATTTAGTTGTAGCTACAGTTAGAGTAAGAGGTAGATGGGAAAAGAGGAAGGTGGCAACAACAAGTAAGAGGGAGGTGAAAGTGTATAAACTAAGGGAGGAGGAAGTTCGGGTGAGATATAAGCGACTATTGGCAGAAAGGTGGGCTAGTGCAAAGATGAGTAGTGGGGGGGTTGAAGAGGGTTGGAATAGTTTTAAAAATGCAGTATTAGAATGTGGGGCAGAAGTTTGTGGTTATAGGAGGGTGGGGGCAGGAGGAAAGAGGAGTGATTGGTGGAATGATGAAGTAAAGGGTGTGATAAAAGAGAAAAAGGTAGCTTATGAGAGGTTTTTACAAAGCAGAAGTGTTATAAGAAGAGCAGAGTATATGGAGAGTAAAAGAAAGGTAAAGAGAGTGGTGAGAGAGTGCAAAAGGAGAGCAGATGATAGAGTGGGAGAGGCACTGTCAAGAAATTTTAATGAAAATAAGAAAAAATTTTGGAGTGAGTTAAACAAGTTAAGAAAGCCTAGGGAAAATATGGATTTGTCAGTTAAAAACAGAGTAGGGGAGTTAGTAGATGGGGAGATGGAGGTATTGGGTAGATGGCGAGAATATTTTGAGGAACTTTTAAATGTTAAGGAAGAAACAGAGGCAGTAATTTCATGCACTGGTCAGGGAGGTATACCATCTTTTAGGAGTGAAGAAGAGCAGAATGTAAGTGTGGGGGAGGTACGTGAGGCATTACGTAAAATGAAAGGGGGTAAAGCAGCTGGAACTGATGGGATCATGACAGAAATGTTAAAAGCAGGGGGGATATAGTGTTGGAGTGGTTGGTACTTTTGTTTAATAAATGTATGAAAGAGGGGAAGGTACCTAGGGATTGGCAGAGAGCATGTATAGTCCCTTTATATAAAGGGAAAGGGGACAAAAGAGACTGTAAAAATTATAGAGGAATAAGCTTACTGAGTATACCAGGAAAAGTGTACGGTAGGGTTATAATTGAAAGAATTAGAGGTAAGACAG